ACACACACACACACACACACACACACACACACACACACACACACACACAAAACTAATGACCATTCATCCGTTCAGCCATCCTCCACTGCTGTCACCTCTTGCAGCATCACACAGTCATGCTGTGATTAGGGATCTGTGTCCCCCATCTGTCATTTCCCCACAGCAACCTCACACACACACACACACACACACACACACACACACGTTGGCAGTAGGTATATCCTCTCTGATCCGGTGTAGTGGAAGCAGAGAGCAGAAGACCGGGGGGATGAAGACTGGATCCAATAATTGTTGGATTCCACACTTCAGATGCTCTGGACTTCAATTATATATGATCCCACACACACTCACACACACACACACACACACACACACACACACACACACACACACACTCACACACGCTCACACACACTCACACACACACACGGGTACCTGTGCTCTTGAATGGTTTCATCGAGTTGTATTTCTTGTAAGACGCCTGAAGCCAAACTAAGCCTTGAGGGCAGCCAGCATGGTTTGGCGAAAGCAAGACTTGCATCCAGTCGTATTGATGTGAGAGAGGAATGAAAGCGATCGGACGTTTTGAGCCGGAGGCGGAACAATCAGGAGCTCAGGATTTGACAGGAACAAGTCAGTTAAGCTGCAGAGAAGAGAGCAGGAAGGATGTTTCCCACCGCTGATTGACAGGAAATGCAAATCTGAGGGAGAAATTGTTTCTGTTGTCGACGCATTTATTTGAATGAGCCAAAGGAGCCTCAGACAGCGTGTGTGTTAGCAGCCTGGCAGGCGTTTTGTGATTGTTCTCAGAGTGAGAGGGTGACGTGTTTTGCTCGCTGCGCTCTATGTGATTTGTTCACTTTTATTCTGCCGTCTTGGCAAGAAAACCTTGGAAAAGAGATTAGAAATGTCAAAACGGTACAAAAAAGTAGAAAAAAAAGAGTCAAACTAAAAAGCAACAATCAGAGACCTGAGGCAATACAACAGGACCCCAGCAGACCAGATTCGGCCTGAATGAGGGCCCCTGAAGACCTCAAGATATTTGATAATTTCTCAAACTTATGTGATCAAACGCCATAGAAATGACAAAATACGAAAGCAAATAACATCTGCGCCTCACCTTGGTCTTTCCCAGCTGCCACTCTGCACTGCTGCTGTCGTAGCGGTGCAGCAGCTGGACGCAGCTCCTCCTGTGGTCGTCCGGCATCACCGCGCCCGGCATCAACACCTTGTACCTGGAGAGCAGGTGAGGTGAAGCAGAAGTCCAGCGCTTGTTGTGGTTCTCATGGTGAAGCAGCAAGGATCTAGTCTGCATATCATTTTTATGGTGTTCTAAACAAAGTTATTTTCTTAAATTGCTAACTGGCTTCAGTTTAAACAGAGCAACCATCTATATCTGTCACATAAGAATAAAGGATGATACATGTATTCATGTAAGATATGACGACGGTGCTGGAAGTCTTGGTGTCGGGACAAACCTGGAGCAGAAGTCTTGGAAAGGTCTCCGGACGGGGAACCCGGTGCGTCGAATCCTGACCGTCTCCAACATGCCGGAGTATCTGAGCTGGTTCAGAACCAACGTCTGGTCGAACTGGTCAGGCATCTAGAGGCAGACGCATGTGACAAACAGGATGAATATGAGGCCGTTTGACTGCAGGACAGTCACATCTGATAGATATTTAAATAATGATTAAGTGTGTTAAGTGAAAAAATCTGTAATAAGTGAGAACTTTAACACCACAGCAAACTTCCATGAATGTTCCTCTGTCATGTAATCAATGCATCAGCTGCTCTCACAACACTCTTCCAGTATTGATAATCCAGGACATCGTGATCTCTCATGCAGCACTAGTGGACGGAGGTGTCATTTTGTTTTTTACAGCTGTGGTGATGGATTTGGGATTGTGACTTCACTCCTGTGTAGAGCTCTGAACGTGTTCTTTCATAGGATGCTCTGCTGTGTTGAAAGGGTTCACAATTCTGTATTGAGCTTTGCATTCTGGGTAAGAATCCAGGAAGTTGTCTTCGTCTGACGAATGTAAGTTTGATGTTGCACCACAACTCGTTTGATGTTGTGTCAACAGAGGCTTCATCAGAGCTGTTTGATGGAAACCCTGAGACTGAACTAGACAGTTGACATGCTTTAAAACCAAAACGACGGGCCCAAAGAGGCTAACAGAGACATATTTCACAGCTCTTTAAATCCCTTTGAGTGCTGAATCTGTCAAACCACGTCATATGATGTCTGCAGGAAAACCACACGCCACTCCCATCCCTTTAAACGCATATACACACGACCCTGCATACCACTCATTCACAGCCTTGAACCCAGAGAGAGAAGCGCGTACGACGGCAGCAACAAATCAAAACCCCTCCAAAAAAAAACACACACTTGGCATTGAGATACCATTATGAAGAGGCCATTTTCTCGGGGACCCCTCTCGCCCTGTAACCTCAGTGGGCGTAGGGGGTTGAGGGGGTTGGGGGGGCTGGGGGCGCTCAGGATAAGAGTGGGCTTTCATAGCCGCTCGTAATGCCCCCTTTATCCAGCGCACATCTCCCCTGATCGCCCGTTGATGGCCCATTTGAGCCGCTGAGATGAAGGGAGGCCAATTCACCACCAGATCTTGACTGAGTGGACTGAATGGGGCCCTTTAGCTGCCACAGGCCGCGGAGAGTGCCTCATTAGCATAAATGTACATTTGCATGCGGCCGGGCCGCAGCGCGCACAAAGCCGAGCGGGTCAGGAAGCTGCCCTCCTGTTTTCTACTTCCAGTGTTTCCTCCTGTTTTCGCTCAGATTCTTGGACGTCAACAGCCGCTCGTTGTAGGAGTCAACCTGGTGAATTAAAATGTCTCCTCGTTCTTTAGTTCAGTCTCTGGAACACAATCCAGAGAAGCTCCATGCTGTGTCAAAGAGCTGCCGGAGACACTGCGCTGTCTCACTTCAGTCATCACATGTTCTGTGTCAGACAGGTCCGTTCTGTCCTTTTCTATTCAGTATTTCTAGTAATGACTCAACTAAAGCTGCCTGAAGTGAGAATAAAAAGCTCAAACTGACATGAATTCAGCCTTTGTACCTCAGAAATTAGTGTCACGGTTGGAATATTTGGCAGAAAGTTGGAGAAAATCGCCCAAAACTCAATTTAAACAGGACACAAAATAATAGTTTTCCCTCGTCATTGGCTACTGTACCTATTCTTACAGATACGGTTCCATGGGAGACACTGGAAGGGAGGGACTTTGCATCTTTATGCCAAATGTTTTTGGTATCACCAGTTTATGTCCCATGAGACTGAAACGTTCCGTTGTCCACCTATTGTCTTGTAGTGTAGAATCAAAGGTTCTTGGTGGGGTTGTTTTGGAAAAGATGCCTCAATAAGCGTTCGATTTTAAAATGTTTTGGGGCAAAATCAACTGTCCATCAACTCAGAACAACAGGCAGACCACCTCTGGCCTCTACAGGGGCGTGACAACAGCAGCCCGAGGGGTAAAGACTCAGTGTCCTTTCTCAGCCCGACTTCCCTGCTAAAAGACTCGGGGCATTCAACAGGGACAAAGGGGGGCGTGGCGGTGGTCCGCTCCCGAGGGGGTTGGGAACCGGCGGGGGAAGACATCAGGATGATGAGCCGACCATCGTTCAACAGCAGTAAGAAGCTACGGAGATGATCCTGAGTCTTTGTACTTTAATCGTTTGTCATTCTGTAGCTGATTTTCAAGATTCCATGAATTTCTTGACCACTCAAACGAGAAAATAAAAAGCAGTTTGAACAGACTGGAACAATCCCGGATGAAGTGAGGATGTCCATCTGTGTCGATTCGGTCCACAGGTTCTTACACATTTCTGTCCAAATACTCTAATCTGGTTCGTGTGTGTGAGCAACTGTCATATTGGGTTGAAATTGCATTTCAGCAGCCACCGAGAGGCAGCGACAGATAACTGGATTCATCGCCCAGAGATTTGATTTTCTCATTTCCTCAGGCCACCTTTGGATAACACAGAATGTTTCTTCAGAGTTTTATACTTTCTTCTGCACCAAAATGAGTTTCTGCCACTGACTGAACTCTATAACCTCACATTTGAGGGTTTGAATATTGATGAATGCATCACCCAACTGCTGTCCCAAACTGAGTGGTTCATAGCAGAGAAATGTCTCTGCATATTATTGTTCTACCTTTAATTAAACGCGTTTGAAGACCTTTGATCTCTACAAGGATCAACATTCTTGCTTTAAACTAAGAACATCTGAGAGCATCTAGAACCCAAAGACCTGCGTGTCTCTTTGTCAGGAGTCCTGTTTGCTTCTGGGCGTCCAGGTCTGAATGTGGGATTATCACTCACTGCTCAGTCGGGGCTCCTTCTCTGAGGTGATTTTGGGGGAAACAATGTTTTCCGCTCAGAGAAGGACATAAATCCAACCTAAATCCCCGACCCCGCTGGATTTAAGCCTGAGCCAGTTTGGAGGAGGATTCTTGTGGGTTTGATTTCTCAGAAAACATTAATGACACAAAGGAAAGCTGCAGAGGTAGAGCGACTGAGGAGGAACCAGTAAAAACAAAAACCAGATATCAATTAAGTCTCCGTTAGCTGTAAAGAAGATGATCTGCAGCTTCTTTGTGCAAGTTCTCGTCATGTTAAGAACGTTCTAAACTACAATAAATAACAGACAGATGCACTGACTCTAACACACTGCAGCTCACTGTTCAATGCTCTCGTTCCTGTTTTAAAAAGAGACATTTCAGAACATCAACATGACAAAGAGCAGCTATGATCGACGGGCGCATCGAACCATTTCTCTCTGTTATCGAATGATCTGTCAATTATTCTTTCGATGAATCAATTAGTAGTTTCAGTCAATAAAATGCCCGAAAAGAGTAAAAAATATCTGGGACCAAGCAAACACATTTGGCATGTTCGCTCAACAGATGAGTCGCACACAAAGTGATTTCAACACAACAGAAGGGATTCAAAATGACACCAAATCCTAAAATATCGGCACCGTAAGACACACAGATGCTATTTCCCATCTTTGCGTCACAACCATTGAATTCAGGAGGTACAAATAAAAGATCCCATTAGAAGCTCTTCTTACACAACAGTAGCCAGAGAAACTACTTTCCCCTGATAATCATGTCATTAACGGAACAGTCTGCTCATTATGTCGTCAGCATGGATCAGGCTTTAATAATCATCGTGCACTCACACAGCGGTTAGACCTGCAGGCTCTAATGTTTCATCGTTTCCCTTTTCTCGAAATTCGATGCGGATCAGTTTGGTTCTGAAAGCCTTCGTGTCCAATTAAGGAGACGACAAACAGGAAGCTGAGGGTCTGTCTGTTGCTCCACAGCACGGAGTTATGAAACAGCACAGCAGAGTAAAGAATCATTAATGAAGAATAAAGCTGCTGCATCTTTTTCTTTTGCAGGATCTTTGGATCGGTAGAATAATTACAGAAACTGTTTCCAGTTTTCTCACTTTTGTACCAAATTCAAGCTCCGTGCAATATTAAAATTGCAGCCGTCCATTAATTGATATTGCTTTTAATTACTGCTGCGTCTCTATTTTCAACAATCTGATTAGTTTTGGTCCAAAAGTTGAAGCTGATTGAGCAGCAGAGTTGGATACGAATTCAAAATGCACGGTGTAAAATCACCTTTAGACATTAAATGCATGCATGACATCTCTACTCTTTCTTTTTAGATGTTCCTTAGCAGATGACACTTTACTCAGCGGACAGAAACTAGACTCTTCTGTGTGCAAAACACAGGAAATCAAACTGCCTGAAAAGCCTGAAACGATGAGAAACTCTCTCTGAGCATCTGTATCATGTAGCCGAACACAAACCGCTGCGTCTCTCCTCGTTCCACAGCACTTGAACCCTCCGCTGGATGCTCAAAAACCCCGTGCAACAAGCGGCACACTCGAACGCACCGCTTCCCATTTAAATGAAGAACAAGCCTCGGGTCTCACCGTGCATCGCAGCTCGGAGCTTCGCTTCCTTCAGCGGTTTGTCAGATCAGAGAGAAACGGGGGAAAGGACAGAAAACTTCTCTCTGTCTCTGCTCCCAACACACACACACACACACACACACACACACGCATACAATGCCACCACAGAGTCAAACAAAGGCTTTCAAACCCAGACTCACCCAGAACTCCCCCCCCCCCCCCCTCCCCCCCTTCTGTGTGGAGAGGGAGGGCCGTGGTTGCCATGGCAATGCATCTCCTGCTGAGGCTAATTTGTGCCACTTGTAGGTCCGGACAGAGAGAGAGAGAGAGAGAGAGAGAGAGAGAGAGAGAGAGAGAGAGAGTGTGTGTGTGTGTGTGTCTGTGTGTGTGTGTGTGTGTGTGAGTGTAGAGCAGCCTGTTTACATTCAAACATGGAGTGCTGACTTTTGTGTCGACTCACTGCAGCTCACTGGTGTGATGCTGCCTCAGACTGGCTGAACTGGGCTGAACATCAACTACCAGCCAACTGGCAGTGTATATACACATATATATACACGTTTATACACGTTTATACGTGTGTATATATGTATATATACCCACACACACACACACACACAGAGAAAATAAGGAGAGAATAAAAAATAAATGGAGACGCAAAGTACAAATGATGTTCCAGCTTTTATGAAAATACGAATCCACATGTTGCAAATGCAAAATGTAGTTTAAAAATGGACAAAACTATTTGTGGTTAGTTTGGGATAGTTTGAAGTGTAGTCTCATGAATATTGTGTTATTGATCAGCCTGACTGGAATATCTTTCCGTTTGTTATATTTATCCAAAACAAACCACAAACACGCATCACTTCCTGTGTGGCAGGAAGAAGCGAGATGGCCTCAGCTGATTGCTCTCATCTTCATCGAGTTAAAAAGAAACAGGACGAAGGTTGAATCAGCGCCGGGGCCCGGAGCTCAGACGGAGCCTTTGATTACTGACAGTAATGAGAGAGATGTGACTGAAGGCTCCACACAATGTGCTGTCAACTCAGGTCCAGTCACCATCAATAGACTCTGATCAGCCTCCACAGTCACATGTTATTACTGTCAAAACACACACACACACACACACACACACACACACACAATGGCTGCTGTGGTGACGGGCGACTGCATTGGATGAGCGTAGATGATGGACTGACAGGTGGAGTTTCTTTGCCGACACAAAGGAAAATGTCTTTCTGCTTAATGCTGCCTGCTCCACAAACTCAACCCTCTCAGCATTAACACACACAGAGTCTACACATCACAACGTTTAAAGTTAAAAGATAAAGAAAATGATGAAGACAAATACTGTCATGTCATCATTTATTTATAATTCCAAAATTGGAATTTAGCTGGAAAGCTTTAGGAGTGTTGCTTTAGGAGATATCTGAAAACAAACAGCAGCATCTCCATCAAGAGGCAGTTCAGTACAATGATAACGATGTGATTCGGTGTTACAGAACGACTGTGCAGTGGTGTTCCAGTTGGACTCCTGTGCTTTTAATGCGACTATTGGAAAGTGTGCGTGCACAACCGTGTGAGTGTTTGCACGAGTCCTGATTGTATTTAACAGTCTGTCAATATATTGATATTTCCACAGATGATCCACTGACCATCTGCAGGAGTCCTGTGACCCTGCAGGCTCTTCAACACGTTGTATCACTGCAGCCAGTCTGTTGGTAAGTTAACCTCTCCTCACTTCCCAAAATGTCTCTCATTTATAAATATATACGTAGAAAAGAAGCCTGTAAACTGGCTCTGAAGGTTTCTGAGGTAGACTCCTACCGCTGGACACCTGCTCAGAGTCAGACAGGCAGATGACAGGGACGCCTCTCGGGGGCTTTTAAGGGCTGCGTGCCGTGTTGCTCTGACCCTTGTTTCCCCTGGGGCGGCCCTAAACCCCCCCCCCCCCCCTCCTTGTTTCACTACATTAAGCCTCATTCAACAGTCATCATCCGGCCTTGTTTAACATCCGATCAGAAGAGGAGGCCAGACGGTCGTGTTTCGCCTCGTAAAAAACACGCCAGCTGGTCTCCCAGAAGACACCAAAGATACTCACAAGTGTGTAGATCATGTCTGCATCTATCAATCTATCCGTCTATACATCTATTTATGAGAAGTTGAGAATAGAAGTTGGCCTTCAGACTCAAAATGATATTTGCATGTAGCTGTATAACGGTAACCATCTTTAGAAGAACTAAAGCTTTTGAATTTCAGAGCAAAATTAGTTTTATCTTCCTTCTTCTCCTTTCATGCATCTCATTTCCCAGCATGCCTCTCTCTGAATGTAACTATGAAGATGCCGTGACCTTTGATCTCCTCACTTATATGTTTCATGTGGTATGAAGTGAAACTTATTCTGCAATTCATCCTGCAAAACAACCCATTAACTGTCTCTTCCCACTGATCCAAAGCTGCTGCTAAACTCTGGTTGTATCTTCCGTGTTTAGTTTCTTCAATACTTCACTTTGTTGTGTAGCCGTATGAAACGGTTTCAGATTACTTCTGTTCATATGGAGTTGTATTTATTTGTTGTATATATTTGTTGTATATATTATTATATTCATTGTTTTCACAGGAAATCAGAACTGAGAATGATTTTAGTTTTCACAAACTCCTTCTAGATGACAGTATTTTGTACATTATAAAAAATATATATATCACCAGTTAACATTGTCAACAGCTGCTAAGATGCTTTAATTCAGGGATTTTGGTAAACATTTTGAGAAACTTCGACCCAAAGAATTCCTGAGCTGGGATCAGAAAACTTGGCCGGACAAACTTGCTTCACAACATCTTAATTTCCCTTAAAAAAAGATTCCCATGATTCACCTGCTGGTTAATCTCCAGATACCTTGTGGTTACAGAAACGTCCACAGTCAGCTACTTAACATATCAATGACTCTCTACCCGACAACCAATAGGCAGGGAGACAGATTCTCTGGTGGTAAACATCACTGATGACCAGGCATGGGAACTATCAATAATTACTGACATCAGCTCCGACATCTTAACCTGCTAATGTTTGCTCAAGGGTAATAACTGTGTGTGTGTGTGTGTGTGTAATGTGTGTGTGTGTGTGTGCATGAATATCTGCACTCACCTTGTGTTTATTTGGTTTGATGCATCGGATGAAGAACGGGTTGGAAGTGCTGAGTGTGGCCATCAGGGAGTGCAAAGAATCCTGCAACAAAGCAAACACTTCTGTTACTATGGTATTACTACCATCACTGCTATTCCTTCTAGTACTACTGCAGCTACTACTTATAATACTGTGACTACTAGTATGTGTACTACATCTACTCATAATAGAGGTGGTACTACACCTACTGATGCTACTCCCATCACTGTACTAAATATATCAATATATGTAAAGTTAGGGTTTCAAAAGGGTTCTTGCTGAAGGGCTGAGGTTCTACCCAGAACCATTTCTATCTAAAGAACCCTTTTTGAAAGAAAGAGTTCTTCAAGGGTTGTTGAACTGTGATGGTGAACCAGGACTGTTGTGGGTCTAAGCTGCACCACATCAGCCCCGGTCATTGTATTCAGCACCGATAGTGTTTGAAGAACACTGAAGAGTAAAACACGTTGTATGTTTGTGACTTACCTTGAACTGGGTGCTGACTGTGGGCCGTCTGTGCTTGGAGCTGCTCTTCAGAGTGTCCTGTTTGTTTCGGCTCAATACGTGTTCGAACAGATCGTAGACAAAGTCCAACCTGAGGAACGCAAAGGGGGAACAGTTGGAACACACGCTGAGAAATACTTTGAATGTTGTTACAAAGGGAGCGATAGAAATAGTGGTGAATAAAGGAGCAGTTTGTAAATAATCAACAGGTTTGATGTGGTGAGGCTGCGGAGCCGTGCACAGATGAAATAATAAACTGAACTTGTAATAATTTGATCTGAAAAAGGGTCACGTTAGAAGCAGGAAGAGTCAACATGCTCTCCTATACCGGTGCAGTTTAAATGGAGCTCAGCAGCCATAAAAGGGAAGATGGTCGTCAGTTTGACTTCTTGCTCTCACATGACGTCTGGACACACAGATCAACATGCCACTGAGCAAGGCATTTAACTCTCTCTGTAATATATGTGAATTACAACAGTAGAGAGGCAGAAACAAGCCTGTGTGAGGAACGCTGTGATGTACCTGCTCTCCCTCAGCAGGTTGAGGATGTCGTCTCTGAAAGTGTCTCTGTTCTTCTCCAGCATCCCCCTCACGTCGTACAACACCTACAGCCGGCCACAAGAGGGCGGCAGAGAGTTTAACAGGGACAAAGAGGAGAGGAGTTGAGTTTTCTCTCCTCAGTTTAAATGAATCAGTATAAAGTGATGACATTTTGTAATATGAACTGTGTCTTTACACAAACTATACTAAAATAAAACATGCAGCACATTACCTCTCCTGCATAGTGCCTGACTCCAAAGTTGTGCACAGCAACACGAGGCTTCACGTAGAAAGAGTTCTTCTGCAGCGAGAGAAAGGAAACGGTTTGATTACTTCTGACCAGCAGAGACGTCGTTAACAGAACCACCGTCACACAGAGAGAGACTTCAGACTACAAACCACGTCTGTAATCTGAACCGCAGCTGTAATAATCTCAATCTCTGAAACTGAAATAAGAAGTAGAATATTTCCCTCTGAAATCTAGTGGAGTAGAAGTGAGAACATGGAAACACTGAAGTAAAGTATCGGCCGGACTAAACACTGATGAGATCTCCTGGGTTGTGAAATGAGAATCTTGCGGCTGAAGAACGACCAACACGTTTTCAGACGGAGACGTACCGAGTGCTGGCTGTGGAGCTTCTCCAGTAAGGTGCCGTCGGTGGCTTTGGGGAAGTGACTCTCCTCATTCATCAGTGCCAGGAGACCCAGTTTCTATGGAAACACGGAGAGGAGATCCTCATCATCTTCATCATCATCATCTTAATTGTTCTCAACGAGACTTATCACAAAAACACTGCTGTGACTAACAGCGTCATCATCCTACTTCCCTCTCTTGTGTTTTAAATGGCCCTCGTACCTTCTCGATCAGGTCCAGACACTCTCCGTTGTCCATCCAGTTGATGTCGACCCACACCAGGCCCTCCCTGCAGGAGCAACAACAACCAGGTCAGACATTTTACAGCACATGAAGAAACGGAACTATTGTTTCAGACTTATCCGAGTCTTTCAGTGGCCCCCTGCCCGGACGGAGAGGGAACACGTCACAACCAGCAGGAATGTGTCGGCACCCCAGACTGAATGGATCGTGATGAACAGATGAGGCGCTTGTGTCTTACGATCAGGACCTCCAGGTTGGCGGCTAAAAGCTAATAGCTAACAGCTAACAGCATCCTTGTGCCGTTTCATCCAAAGAACATCCAGCCCAGAGGACACACAGTTGGTTTGAACTGTTGGTGGAGCTTTGGACCAACTGGTGACTTCATCAGCTGTGTTTTCTAAACACTGAGAAACATCAGGTAACAATTTAGTCCGAGTGGACGTGAGATGATGTTTTGGATTTTCCGTTCTATCTGAGCCAAAACGGAGCGTTTTTAACGAGTGACTTCAGCGACGTCTTATTTCCACTAGAACGTGTTCAACTCTGACAGATTCATATTAGTCCAGACAAAGCAAACATGACAACAGTCTTTAATATGGATTGATTTTAATAAGTTAGAGAAAGCCAAACAGCAGCAACTCATGGCTGGATTATGGAGCGAGCCACAGGGGCCCCCCGGGGCCTCATAGCCAAGCGTGGCCCAAGACTTTAAAAAGGAAGTTGAATGCCCGGGGCCCTCAGTGGGCACAGCACAAGATGACCACAAGGCCCCTGTGTGCTTAGAATGTGAGCTCACCATTGGGGCCCCCCTAGACCCCTCAGCGCTTACAGAGCGAGGGTCTCTGGAGCTCCTCTGCACTTACAAAATTTTCCAAAGTCAACGAGGTAATTGTGTTAAATAAAGTGATCTCAATATTTACTGGAGTCATTATGATTTTTGCCGTAATCAAACATGATTGGGGCTCCAAAAGACATGTGCCCAGGGGCCTCACAGGACCATGATCCGGCCCTGCAGCAGGTTCTTTCCTCCCTCACAACAGCTGCTACACTTGTGTTGCTTAAAGTAGCTGAGCGGTGAAATAACTGCCACCTCAGCATGACTGTGTGATTACGACAGCGTTTAAATTGGAGATTTAGTTAAAGATATTAAATAATAGGCACATAACAAAGTGGAATTATCCATTTGTAATTGTAAGAAAGAAGCACAACTTTGGGGTATTATGGAAAAGTTGTGCAAAGTATTTCTGGAGAAACACAACACGTTAGAGAGTTTTCTTGCCCCGTCTGGCTCTTTTAAATTAAACTCTGTTGTTCATCAGCTCACACATGACAGCGTACACATGTAGAATTAGACTCTAATGTCTCGCAGTAACACAACATTTTGTAAAGTCAGTCGACAGAATTCTGCAGTGAAAACAACAGAACGATCGGGTGAACGACCTCCACCTACTTGTTGTACTCCAGCTGCTCCAGGGAGAAGATGTGCTTGTTGAAATATTCCTGAAGCTTCTCATTTGCATAGTTGATGTTGAACTGCTCAAAGCGGTTGACCTGCAGGGGAACAAAACGAGGCAGACATTAAGACGCAGAACACACAGACGGAGAGATAACGAAGCGAGGAACGAGGAACTGATTAACAATTAAAATACCATTAAAATACGTGGGAGACGGGGAAATTAAGGGTGAGGGATCGGATTTAATTTAATTCACTTTATTTATAGATTCTGGGTTCATATCAGACACACTAAATAACGCCTGGGTTTTTAATTTCCCCTCAGTCATCCATTCTTTGGGGGGGTTTATAGATAGCTTTGGTTAAAACGTGTTTTTATGGTAAATCTCTCCACGAGTCCGAACGCACCTCGAAGTTCTCGAATCCGAAGATGTCCAGGATGCTGATGGACTTGAAGTCTTCTTTGCCTCTGATGCGGTTGTTGAGTTTTCGGATGATCCAGTTGAAACACTGGGAGTAAAGGGCCATGGCCATGGAGTCCCTGGAGTCCACCGCCTGCAGAGGAGCAGGAAGTGAACCGCTGCATCAGCACACATCAGTCAGAGCAGAAGCGTACTCAGTCATGCTCTGTTAGTTTTGTCCTAGAGTATTATACCACTATATATTTAAGACAAAAGTGTAGTGTATGCAAGTACTCTGTGTTTGTAAATCATGCACCTGATGTCTATGTTGAATAATACTTTATTCATAGTTCACTGTGTGGTTCAGTTTGTAGTAAATGATCTGAATGTCTGAGGCTGAATAACTTCTACATTGTTTAGGTTTTGCTTCTGATTTATCATTCATGACACTAAGTATGATATACTCATGTGCTCTGTGTGGTGTTACGTTATTAACATGGTCCTAGCTTCTCATATTTACTGCCTCTCTCTGTGTTTTATCATTATAAACTGAATATATTTGGGTTTTGGACTGCTGGTCAGACAAAACAACATATTTGAAGACATCACCTTGGGCTCAGGGAACATGAGATATGAGATACCCTCCTCTATGTTTATACAACCAGACTATAAACAATGAAGAAGAAGAAACCAAACCTCAGGCCAGATTGTGCCTGAAACAAAGTGTTCGCTGTGAGTCTACAGACAGATTAACAGTAACACAGAGGCCAGTCTGTGGAGATCACCAGAGGTTATTAGTACACAGGTGAGCTGACTGGACTTCACTCACCTGTTCCACGGTGAGCGGTGTGCAGATCTCCTCGCCCCTGAGGATCATGGACCGGTGGGTCAGGACCTCGGCCAGCTGATCTGGGTTCAGCCCCAGGAGGTCAGACGTTCGGCTGAGAGCAGCTGGTGGAGGGAACACGTTAGCAAAGATGTCTGCTTATAAACATTCTGCTTTTACTCCCAGTCGCAGTCATTCATCTAACTAAGCAGGAATGTTTAGTCAGGGATAAGTAGAGAAATAACTACTTAATAACTGGCGCTGTTGTCTCTAAACAAAGGATGAAGTCCGATTAACGACGGAGTGGAAAGTGAGGAGAAACTCTCGTACCTGATTTGGAGGAGACCTGCGCTCCTCCGGCCGTCATGAACTCGATGTTCCCGGCTTGGAGAACCCCGGCCAGAAGGCGCAGGATCTCCCCGATGTTCTCCTCCGTGAACTGCATCGTCCGCATGGCATTCTGGGAACCACAGACACACAAAGAAGGAGCTGATGAGAATAGAAACCGTCAGGTGGTAGCTTCACATTCTCGCTGGTGTTTGAACTCCTCAGCAGCTCATTTAGGTTCTTTTGGGACTGAACGGATCTCTGAAGCTCAATCGGTGTTCAGCAGCTGATTAGTCTTTTGGGTGTTTTGGAGGTTTGGACTGACGTGTCTGTTGGTTTGGAAGCTGTGGTTTTAACTTTTCAGAGTTTTATCCTCTGAATAAATGAATGAATTAGTCCCACAGAAACATAATGTATGCAAATATATGTGTGAAATCGAATCAAAGGTTCTTGTAATACAATATATATAACGTGCAAGAATACATCATTATTTAAAAACAACGTTTTGAGTCATTTGTCATTTTCGACATTTCAAAACAATGAATCAAAAAAGAATCCCGAGATTAATATGTCTGGACAACAAATGTAACTTCCCCTCAGACGAGTGAACGTAGTGTCAGTGTGTCTGAATGTAAACATGTTTAGTGATGGAGCCGGCTGAGTCCTGCGGACCTGAACGTCCTGGAAGGTGACGCTGTCATTGACGGAGTTGTCAGCGAGGCAGCTGGACTGTCTCAGGTAGTGGTAGCTGGCAGGCTGGCCCAACGCGAACGCCTCTGCAA